CCCCAAAACCCCAAAACCCCAAAACCCCAAAACCCCAGTTTTAATATTCTATATTGATTTCAATAATTCAAATATCAACATGGATAAACTCATTTGGCTCTTATTCACCGTGAACATGTTGTTTCAGGCCTCAACATGAATATTCGCACCATTCTTTCCTAGTATCGCAAAGGACGAAAGGCATGTGTCCTCATTCCTGATCGGAGTCTGAGTCAGCATGAACGCATTATCATTTGTCATAGCAAGTATATTGTACGCACATGTGAAGATAAAGAGAAGAGCTTCTATGTATTTAGGCCTAAGTCTGACTGTTCCTGCTGTAGCAGGCTTTGGCCTCCTCTACTGGGTCAACAACAGCACTTTATTTATTACTATTGCAATAATACTTAGATTTATTGGTGGAATCGGCCAAGGCTTCTTATCTACATCGTCCTATGCAATGGCTTCCGCTCGGTACAAAGATAATTTGCATGAAAAAGTTGGACTCCTTGAGTCAGGAAATGGTGTTGGATTTCTTGTAGGTCCAATTGCTGGAGGAATAATCTATCAATTCACTCACTTTTCAGTGCCATTCTTCATCTTTGGAGTACTAATTCTAATTCTAATGTTCATGCTCAGAAATCATCTTGATGAAGATCTTGATTCAATACCAGTAAAGCAGGAAGGAGACATTAAAGTTGGATTTAGATACTTAATGAAGCACAAAAGGATCTTTTTCGCTGCTTTATCCCAGTTCTTTACACTCTGAGTGCTGACATTTGGCCAGCCAATTTTTGGAGAGAGGCTACAGAAAGACTATTCATTCTCATTTGCTCTGATAGGATTATGATTTGCAATTCCTACTCTAGCATATGCCTTGACAGGACCATTGCTTCTGAAAAAGTTTACAAGAAAGTTCGAATTTAGAACAACCATAATGATAGGATTTCTGATTCTAGTGGCAGCTGGTATTTTCATAGGGCCTTCCAGAGTATGAAAACTACCTGATACGTCAGCACCAATGATGATTTTTGGACTTTATCTGCTTGGCACAGGAGTTGCCTGCACTATCATCCCAATTATCCCAGAAATGATGGAAACTGTAGAGCAAAATGAGCGTGCTCATGATAAGGTCTCGGCAATTTTTAATATTTTTGGAGGCTTTGGACAAATAATATCTCCTCCAGTGGCAGGGGCCTTAGTTGACAAGGTCGGGTTCAATTACTCGCTAGACTTTTGAGCATTTTCAGTTTTACTCTTTCTGATACTTTATTTTGTTTTTTGAGATGGAGTAGGTGCTCTACAATTGACAGTAGAAAACTTCAAAGAGAACCATGAAAAGGAGGTAATGCAACTTAAGACATTAACTATGTTTCGTCTTGGTTTACTTAATTTGCATAGCTCACAACAGAACAAACAGAGGATGACTCGCTGCCAGGTACAGAATCTCCTTCACCAGCAAATGAGTCTGACTATGATCAGAATATCTCTTCTAATCTCAACGAGAGTTCTATGTGTCGAGAAAAGACGATCGTTCTCGACGGAGAAGAAGATTTGTAGCAGAATTAGGCTTTCAATACAAGCAATATTTTAAGGGGTTTTGGGGTTTTGGGGTTTTGGGGTTTTGGGG